ATGCCGCTTCAATATTTCAAAAATTTTCTGGGGGGCATGCCCCCAGACCCCCTAGCACTGGCATGCCTGCCATCAGAAAATGGTACTTTCTCAACAGGTGATTCAGAGACTCTAGTCCGAATCGTACCTCATTCATCACGTGACAGTTATTGTAATAGTGCAGCGTGTGTACAATACTCACACGGTCAAGTTCATTGTTAATGCTGCCATCAATAACTTGGCAATAGATATATAAATAACGTTATATCTTATGTTATGTTAATATGTTATTAATCAGGACAAGCAAAAATATCTTGTATCTTGTAGCAAAATTGTTCCCTTATTTCGAACACTGATGTATATATACATATATACAAATAAACAAACTAAAGTAGTAGTGAGCACACGCCCTTCCTCTGTTGACACACACACACACACACACCCAAACAAACTAAAAGGAGCTACAGTTACAACAAGAGACATACGGCTGAGCAGCGAGCACGCACCTTTCCTCTGCCGACAAAGTCCATCAGTCTTCCCGGCGTGGCGACGAGGATGTGACAGCCTCGATCGAGGTTCTTCAGCTGGTACATCACCGACACGCCGCCGTACGCCACGACGCACTTCACCACCGTGTTGTACGAAAACTTGCGAGCCTGCAAGGAGGGAAGATGCGCCTTGAATACAAGCGAAGGAATTGACGCAAGATGATGTATACGCCGACCAGCCACGGGTCCGAACCGATCCTCACGCAAATACCGTGATATTTCTGCAGGGCGAGTTAAAAATCTTGTCATGCAGTGTCTTTACTTGGTTACTGCACTAGCAGCAACCCTACTATAATATTTAAAAGTGCATCTAACTGCAGAACAACCGTAATAACTAAGGTAGATTTTTCACTGCTTGTTGTCAGCTACGTACACACACATGCACACACACACCACACATACGCACACACACATACACACACACACCACACATACGCACACACGCACTACGCACGCACGCACGCACACATACACCTACCTCCTCCTGGATCTGCACTGCAAGCTCTCGCGTCGGCGCCACAACGACAGCGTACGGCTGCTGCGCTCCGGGGATCGACGATCCTTCGAGACCCGTGGCAACGATACCCTTTAGCACGGGCAGCAGGAACGCAGCCTGTGCGCATGCAAGCAAGATAGACACAATCAGATCTCTGCCCAAGTCACTCAACGCATTGCTCAACAACCGAAGCGTTACGCGGTGGTTTTTCAGCATTTCACCGTTGTACGCTCTCCTTCTTAATACGCTCTTGATTATATTAGTCTAACCACTACTTGAGCGGCCCCATAGTTTCATCCTCACAACCGCCTATGGTGTACCGCCAAAATCGAAGAAACTCAACCGAAGAGATGTTCTTACCGTCTTGCCGGAGCCGGTCTGTGCACAGGCCATGACGTCACGGCCGGCATTTACGGCGGGAATCGCCAGCTTCTGTATCGGCGTTGGTTTCACATAGTGAGCTCGCCTCACATTCTGCAGGAACGTCTCTCCAAGACCAGCCTCTTCAAACGACGAGATTTCCTTCGGAGGGGAATCCCCTGCCCCGCGATAAGCAACCGACCAATTATTAATCCAATACTTAATTTGTATTTCATTTTTTTAATTTTATTTAAGGTTTATTAATCGTGCTTAACCTCACAATTTATTGGTTTATTTAATTAACCATTAAATAGCCACATATTAATAAATAAATATTTTTATTCATTATTACTCAAAATGCACCGCATTGACATTGGAAAATTGACTGTGTGGTATATATTAAAAGACTGACACCAGAGTCGCTCACCTGTAACACTGTGCGGAATGTTGTCGTACTTGGCAAAGTTGATGCCGGCGTGGATGTAGTTCCCAAACATGTCCTCCTCCGTCTCTCCGCGCTCGACCGGGATGTAGGTAACAGCTAAACGACGCCAGATACAAGGTCAACACACCAGCACACGCACTCCGCTCACGAGGACGTGCCAACGACGGCATTAGCCAACCATGTTTCCCCCTCGACAAAACACCACGGTTTGCCACTACTGCGGTACATGACAATGTGTGAAGCTAGCTGATACATGACAGAGAGCCATGGTTAGAAACTAGCTACAGCTACATAGCAGCAGCTATGTGCACCAAGACTTTCATCAGATGGTTGATCCAAAGTGCACTGTTCACAGACGCAGGGTCTACAGTACAATGGTGATCATCACGCAAAAGTCAAAAGGCGCAAACCCACATCATTAAGTTTTCAATACTTTACTATTAGTAACAATTAACCTTCAAAGAATTAAATAAAAGAAGATGGATTAAAAATAAACCACCAGCTGGCAATAGCAAACATTCAGCTTCACAAATAAATACTAGAATACGCACCTTTCGGGACATCTGCTCCATCACCCTGGAAGAAGAGAAGATTAATAGAAGATCATAAATACACACGAGGTAGCCAAGACAATAGGGTCTCAGAATGCATGGTTTCATGGAAAAAATGAATGTTTGGAAGCATGGATGGACAAGCTAGAACCCGGAATAATAAAAGTGTGCTAAACTAAAATGCTTAGCCCGTAATTCGATCTGCAAGCAGTCTTGGAAATGATGTGAGAAACATGAGAAAGTCATGTGCTTACCGTGGCCTCTGCATCCGGGCATTCGCGTGCCAGGTGACCCTCCTGGCCACACTTGAAACAGCCCTTCACTGCAAACAGTAAAACAGGTAACATGCAGAGCGTACCAAACACCTACACACATTGCAATACTGATCATGGTTTATCCAGTCAATGTATAATATGACCAGTGTACGCACAAAACAAGTACTTGCGTAAGTAAAAATGTGACATCTCTTTCAGGAACCAAGGTTGGAGAAGCAAGCTTGGCAATGGTTCAAGATGCCGTTGTTTCTCTGGCATGATGTAAGCGAACCGCGACACAGGAGGAGGCTGACGCACGGATGTCTATCATGCTGCAAATCTCTCGATTTGATGACTACTACGCGACCTATCCCACTACTCTTATCTACACGACTTGCCGTCAATTCGCAATGACACTACGTGAGCGAAATAATATGATAACAGTGGACTGCATGACAAAATGACACATTAAACTTTGTGGTGTCACAGTAAAATGTTACGAGGACCGAGTGAAATGACACGACGAAGCGGTGGCAAAATGAAATGTCACGAAGTGAGTGAATATAATGCATTACAACGTGCAAAAGCCATGTGTGCAAAAACTGCAACCAAACAACAGCCATTGGGCTTACCGCCACCACCAGTAGGACATTCCCGGGCAAAATGCCCGTCCTCTCCACACTTGCGACAGCCTTGCCCGCCACCGCCGCCTCCTCCTTCAAGAAAATAAAATACAAATGACATTAGTAACATGTACAATTGCTAACCACGTGTTTTTCTTAAAATAATTTCCTCTGATTTTATGATTAAGCAAGAGTGTTTAGTATCATGTAAATAATATTTTATGATGAATCCACCTGGCTGCAACTAAATTCTGCCAACTGGTGATATGCTTAAGCAACTTCACTCATCCTGACAAAGAGCACTAGAACATTTATTGAAAATGCATATCATAAAACAAATTTAACCTAATAGTTTAACTTAGAAACATTAGCTTTGTGCGTGCAAAAACTACAACTAAACAACAACTTGTGTGCTTACCACCAGCCGATGGGCATTCGCGAGCAAAATGCCCCTCCTCCCCACACTTGTGACAGCCCCGCCCACCGCCGCCCCCTCCTCCTTTAAAAGAACGAGATACAAATGGCATTATTTATATGCAAACTTACTCGTGTTATTCACACACAAAGCAAAGTGAACAGAAATATTAGTCTAGTCCCACCTAAGTAAAATACAGCATAACAAACAGGATACTTCAGATGCACACTTCTTAACAATTTCACAAAAGGAGCGGTACTGGAACCCTGGACAAATACTATGACTACACAACAGTCATTGTGCATACCTCCAGCAGACGGGCATTCACGAGCAAAATGCCCCTCCTCCCCACACTTGTGACAGCCCCGCCCACCGCCGCCACCTCCTCCTTCGAGAGAACAAGATACAAATGGCATTAATTATATGCAAACTTACTCTCGTTATTCACAAACAAACAAAGTGAACAGAAATCATATTAGTCTATTCACACCTAAAATACAGCATAACAAACAAGATACTTCAGACACACATCTCTTAACAGTTATCACAGAAAGAGTGGAACTGGCACCCTGAGCAAATATTACGACTACATAACAGTCATTGTGCATACCTCCAGCAGACGGGCATTCGCGAGCAAAATGCCCCTCCTCCCCACACTTGTGACAGCCCCGCCCACCGCCGCCACCTCCTCCTTTAAAAGAACGAGATGCAAATGGCATTAATTATATGGAAACTTACTCTCGTTATTCACAAACAAACAAAGTGAACAGAAATCATATTAGTTTATTCAAACCTAAAATACAGCATAACAAACAAGATACTTCAGACACACACTTCTTAACAATTTCACAAAAGGAGCGAAACTGGAACTCTGGCCAAATACTATGACTACATAACAGTCATTGTGCATACCTCCAGCCGATGGGCATTCACGAGCAAAATGCCCCTCCTCCCCACACTTGTGACAGCCCCGCCCACCGCCGCCACCTCCTCCTTCGAGAGAACAAGATACAAACAGCATTGTTTATACATAATTTTTACGTGAACGTGCTCTCGTTGTTTATACAATAATAAAGTTACCAGAAACCTAAGTAGTTTATTCCCACCTAAAATACAGCATCACAACCATGATTCCTAAGACACACACTTCTTACCATCCATCACAGAAGGAACAGAACTAGAACCCAGGGCAGAAATTGCTACTAAACAACAACTTGTGTGCTTACCACCAGCAGATGGGCATTCGCGAGCAAAATGCCCCTCCTCCCCACACTTGTGACAGCTCCTCCCACCACCGCCACCTCCTCCTCCGTCACCACGGGGACCTTTATTGAAGCCTCCACCTATCACAAGAACCCGCCACGATTTTTTAATTTGTTCAAATTTTCGAAATGAGCCATAAAACTGGGATTGCTCACTAGAAATACCTGTTGTTGAAAAAAAAACATACAACACATAATTTAATGCACACAAGATTACATTAAGATTATCACATGAACAAATCTTACACATGAATAGTCGACGACTGGTACTAACATTATAAAATCGAAAATACTAGACGTTTTACATTTGAACGTGTACCGATCCCACATTGAATCAGAAGCATAAATAAATCTGGAGACAAACAAAAACCTAACACGTACAAAATATAAAGGACCACCAGCGTTTTACACACCTTGCACTTGAGCAACAAGGCGGGTAGTTATAAACAAACAATGCACTTCTACTTTTCAAAATATATATAATATTATATAATTATACACAGAGAATATATGTGACCCGCTCCAGCAAAACCAGGATTAAGTAGGAAATTTCTACAAATTGAGTCATGTGCATATCTGAATAGATCATTTAATTACCTTTAAAATGATATATAATATTTGGCTATATCTAAAGAATTGACCGATCTACAGCAATTTGAAGATCGGAAACCAACTTATTCCAGAATGTGCAGCTTTTGAGATAAAGTGTTCCGGGCAAGAGGCCCAGTCGGGGGATGAGCGGTCAGGGGCCTTTAAATTTTATTTTATTTTTTTAAATTTATTTTTTTAATTAAAAATGACCATAATAATCTAGAGATATCTGAACCTATATATCCGGATTAGATATGCACTTAGGAACTTATTTTTGTAAAAATCTCATTTTTGTCCAGGTAGGCCATTTTCAGCATTGACATGTGTGCCAATACTCAAAACTACAATATTCAATTGTTTGACATTACTCAAAACAATGACTTGCGACTTAGTCCGTATTGTGCTGGAGCAGGTCACATATATGTGACATCTCTTTCAGGAACCAAGGTTGGAGAAGCAACCTTGGCAATGGTTCAAGATGCCGTTGTTTCTCTGGCATGATGTAAGCGAACCGCGACACAGGAGGAGGCTGACGCACGGCTGTCTATCATGCTGCAAATCTCTCTATTCGACATTACATCTCACAAAAATTATTAGCAAACAGACAATTAATACAACTGCCATATGATGAAACGATATTTCAATTTTCATTCAAAAATACAAGCAGAGTGCACAACAGTCCACATTTACAAGCATTTCCACAAGTCAGCTTTTTGTTTCATACGATGCATTTTCATAGTGTAACTATACAAGTGGTCATTATTACAATATTAAAAAACCCGAAATAGCATTTTGGGTCACTACATCGGAGAAAAGACCACGACATTTAAGTCACGAATTTACAGTCACGATATTTTACCAATGTTTTGCCAAGTGGTCATATAAAAAAAAACAAATGACCTTTTATGGACCGATTTTTCAAGTGGGCAAGTTCACTCATCATGCTATGCCACGTGCAGAAGTGACATTAATCCTAGAAAATGCTGGGTTGTGTTACTCAAAACAAGCTGTCAAGCTACCAACTACTGTTACCAAATAAATACGTGTGCTACCGAAAACAAACTGCCATTAGAGCTTAGCATGCCAAGCAACACAGCAACACAGCAACCAATCACCAGCACACAAGCAGACAGCAGATGGTGCCATCGATACAGCGAACATCCGACAATGCGTTTACGTGTCACTCCTCTTCACTAAGACTTGCAAATAGAGAGGAGAGAGAGAGAGAGACAGACAGAGACAGACAGAGTCAGAGAGAGAGAGAGAGAGAGAGAGAGAGAAAGAGAAAGAGAAAGAGAAAGAGAGAGAGAGAGAGAGAGAGAGAGAGAGAAAGAGAGAGAGAGAAGGAGAGAGAGAGGCAGATAGCACAGTCTAGTCTACTGTCGATCTCTAGCAAGATGCTCTAGCCATCACTGCACACAGCCATGTCGACAGCTTACAAACCCGCCCCGCGCGCTTTTGCCACCGCCCAGAGAACTCTCGGACCACGACATTTGTGGGAATCGACAGGCGGCAACGTACTGTGCGTGCTCGACTCCGTTTTTCGTTTACCGCGGGGGAACCCGCGCCCGACCGGCCGTCCTTCCCTGGACTACAGATGCACAAAAACGCCACAGCAGATTCAACAATCTCGTTCGTCGTCCATTTATGACAGAACTTTTCTTACGATCGAAATTTCTCGCAAGAGTACGAAGAGAAGAAGCTTTTAGAAGAACTTTCAACAGTTCAAGAGAAGATCTTCTGAGATGCATTTCGACCCACATCTAGCATGTGTACTCTTCTCTACTTAGGCAAGGCACGAAATTAAGATTGTTTGCACCGGCCCAGAGGGCTGGAACAGCACAACTTTTCACTAGCCCCAGGCCTCGACGCTTATTTTCAGATCTGGTTGTCTTGTCGGGCAACAAGAGCAAGCAATTTTTACTTGTCCGAATTTTGGTTTTACTTGTCCAAAATTTATTGCAATCTAGAGCCGTTAAAGTTGCTTAAAAAAATGCAGCTAAACGCAGAGATGCCACACTATATTTCTGAGCAAACTGTAGTGAGGATGTCTGAAATCTGTAGTCGCGAGGGTCACGCAGTGACCGCCGTGTATGCTAGGGGGGGGTTCGGGGCATGCCCCCGGAAAAATGTTTGATTGTGAGATGCAATTTCCTGCATTCTGGGACCAAAATGGCAATAAGTTCAAACTGATATTTGCTGCTAATACATGTAGTTATTTTAAATCATGTTATATAATGTAAACTGAAACAAAACACTTGAAATATCATCAAAAAGATTTTTTCTCAATCGTATAAAAATCGTAGTTGTATGCAAACTGGTCGTAGTGCTCAAATGCAAACGAAATTCGTATAAAATACGGATAAATCGTAGTGCAATAATACGTATCTCACTGAATATAATCATATATATAGACCTACTGTGAGCTCGTCTATGTTGCAAAAATATTCACTAGAACTCATTTGTATTGCTACTTTCATAGCATTTTAATCTCAAAATTCTAAACGAAATTACTTCTCTTACGAAAGTAAGTGATGTTTACACATGTAACAGTGATGTTTACAACATCCAGGACACAGAGGAGCGATCGTTAACAGTTTTTTCTATGATACAAACAAGTTATAATTCATTATTATATGAGCGGCCTGTTCAAACTTCTAAAGCGCCCGTTCAATTTGTCCTAAGGACTGCCTTTATAAAATTTGGGTGGACCCCTGTTCACATTTTGGCTAATTTCATGCCATGAATACTTATTGTATTACTAATGGTGCAGGCAGGCAAGTAAAAGCCATTATTGGGCATCTGATGCGTCCAAGTACTTCATTCAGGGATAATCAAAAATTGTGTTCATGACATTCCACTAACATATACACGTCACGAGATCCACATCACACGATATAACACAATACCAGTCTACTACTGAATCAAATACTGCACACTTGGGAAAAACCCCTTTGCTTCTATCAACAGAGTCCAATCCAAACAACAGATATAGGAAGCACAACGACCGAACATTTAAAATGCTGACTACGGCAAAACCAAAGGAGAGCCAGAGAGTACATAGGGCTATTTGACGTACTGATATTGCTACGTATATCGTTTGGGGTCATTACAAGCAAGCACTCACTCCACACCCTCCCCCTCTATATCGCTCTACCACGCTACAACCATCGACCACTCTCTCTCACACACTCTAACTCTATAGAGA